GCTGGGGGAAAAGCCTCAAGGTTCTCAAGCACAGAAACACCACTTCCACCTTAACAAGTCTCTCACATGGGCTGGGGGTTGAAACTCCTCTGGAAGAGGAGCATTGCTGCGTGAGTGCCATGTCCCTGGGTGACTCTGAGAGCAGGATCAGGCCCCATGGATCACAGGTTTGACCTGATGCCCTGGTACTTGCCCCCGGATCAAATTGGGTTGTTCCCACAAGTGGCTCTCTCTCTGCCAGCTGTTTCCAGGTGTTGCTTTGAGTCTCTTTCTCCCATCAGTGATTCCCTCACACTCACCTCCTTGCCTGGATATTTGCATTGTAACAGGGATACCTTGACCAGGTCACTGGTCACCCTTGGTGCATAAAATGGACCTGTGCAAAGAGTCCTGCCTGCTTTTCATCAGGGTGCTGGGAGGCTGGGCAGGAATACCAGGTAGAATCGGAAGGCAGGGGGGCTACAGCGTCCCATAAACCTTGCATGAGTATGATGAGGGAGAAGATAGAAGGAGATTCTGATTCTTTAGGCCAAGTGTACGCGAGTGAAACAAAGGCAGCATCATGATGTGCCCAAGGGCTGCTTCCCAGGGGAATACGGGAACAGGGACCTGTAAATGAAGGTTTTCTCGGCAGCCAGGCTGAACAAGGGCAGGTGTTTGAAGTCTTTCCTGGGTGCCCTGAGGCAGAGATTACCCATGGAGGGAGAGCTTTCTGCTGGTGCCTCTTCAAGAGGAGCACAGCACAGGGTTAATAAACCCTGGGCACTCCTCATCCCAAGGAGTCTTGCTGGGGATGTCTGATGGTGTTTGCACCCAGCCCGCTTACTGACAGGGAGCCTCAGCCTCTGGGCAGCATTTCTTAATGGAGAAGCCTGGCACGCCTCCGTTTCCTGTTAGCGGTTAGAGCTGCATTTAATTACCGCGCGGAGAGGCTCCTTTAAACAAGGCATGAGCTCTCTTTCCTCATTTAATAAAGATGCTTTCTGTGGTCTCAGCCCCTCAGGGCTTTATTCTCCATGGGTGAGCCATGGAGGACGCGCTGGCCACGGCACCCAGAGAGCGGCCCCCAGGGTATTTCCTGGTGTCCTCACAGTGGCTTTGGCAGCAGCGATCTCACATTGAGACACAGAGCAGCAGTGCCCGCTTGCTGCCAGGCGGGCAGAGGGGGTGCAGCCATTGCCCTTGTCCTGTCCCTACATCCCTTGTCCCAAGCCCCTCTCCAGCTTTCCTGCAGCCCCTTTATGCACTGAAGCTGCTCTCAGGTCTCCCCTTCAGGAGCCTTCTCTTCTCCAGGCTGCCCCAGCCCAGCTCTCTCAGCCTGGCTCCAGAGCAGAGCTGCTCCAGCCCTCGCAGCATCTCCATCCAGCAGCTCCACATCGCTCTTGTGCTGCTGCCCCAGAGCTGGACCAGGACTGCAGGGGGGGGTCTCCCAGAGCGCAGCAGAGGGGCAGGATCCCCTCCCTTGACCTGCTTTGATGCAGCCCAACACACTGAGCTCACAGATTTATCTCGTTCATCTCACATTCATCTCGCAGTAACCGGTGCCTCTTTCAGTTTCATTTGCAATAGACTGCCTCTCCTCACAGCCCTTTGCAGGGCGATGGGGAGAGGATGCAGGCAGGCAGTGCTGTAGCACCGTTGCCTTGGGACCCAGGAGGAGAAGCCAGTCAAAGGCGGATGAAATCCCACCCCGCCTGTGGGGAGCAAATCCAAACATCTGCTCCTTCCGCTCTTTTTCTGTCCCCTCCAGGCAAATTACAGGAGCCTCTGCCACAGCAAAAGGCTTTTAATCAAAGCTAATTACCCACTTCAAACGTTCCTTTGTCAGGGGTCCTGGGGTCAGGCCCGGTGACTGCGTTTCCATTGATGACTCGCATCCTTGGCTGTGCTTCTCCTGAGCAGAGGAGGAAAACGGGTGGCGGGCTTTGATGGCAGCCCTGTGCTACCCCATGGAGCAAGGCTCTGTGGAGAAACCACAGGAGAGAGCTGATGGGCTGCTCAGTGAGATGGTGACATCCATTAGTTCGGCTTGGAGGGTTTAGCGATGCTGACTGACTTAATTGGATTGCGATGTGACACAAATCTGCCCGGTCTGGAGCAGGGGAGGAAATTAAAGCAACTCAGGGGCTTTGGGCCTTACATCTCCTTGGCAGAGCACAGCTCCCTCCGTGGGTGTGAAGTAGAGGGGATTTTGTGCTGATGGTGATGATGATCAAGGTGGGGCCAAGTGGGATGGATGAAGCATCCCACAGTGATGCTTCTGGCTTGTAAACTAAACCAGTGGCTCCAGGGGCACTTCAGGAATACACTCGGTATAAGGCTAATGCTGGCTGGGGTGACCAGCTCCCTGCATAGGGGTCAGGAGGGGTTTGGTTGGTTGAACTCCTTGAGGAAATGCAGTTATCCCTACAGGATATCAAGCTTCTGTGTCCCACGTGATGCAGATCCCAGCTCTATGGGAATTCAGCATGGAAATGAGTGAGACAAAATGGAATTCCTCAGTCTGATGTGCTGGAAAAGCCACCCACTGATACCACTTTAGGTTGTATCACTCTAGGTATCTTTATTTTAGGTATCGCTTTAGCTTTAGGACATGACCTTTTGCAGCTCCTGGAAGAGCCAACCATGCTCTACAAGTGTAAGGGAGCTGCCTGAACCAGGGCTGACCGTTAGTGGCCTTTCAGCTCCCTCTGCAGATATGATTAAAGCAATGTTCCCATGCCCAGATCGATTCACTGTGTCTTGGACCTCTTTTCCCCCTCAGTAAAGACAGATGAGGTTTGTAACTGCCTTTGACAAATCAGCTCTGTGAAGGCTGAAGGATGGGAGGTTCTCCTGATCCCCGTGCTCCCAGCTGGACCAGAAGCATGAGCTGTTGGCAGCTCTGCTCGGTGCACAGCTGCCTCTTGCCATGCTTTTGGCACCCTAAGGTGCCAGTCGGCAGAAGATGGGTGTTTCTCCTGCCTAAGTTGCTGGGCGCAGGGAGGCAGGGAGCAGGCAGATGGTGCGGGCAGAGCCTGCCTGGTGCCGTCTGCCTGGTGCCTTGCATCAGCTGTGCTTTTGGAAGCCTTCTGCAGCCCGGCCCTTGATGCGCTGCTCGGGTGCTCGTGCTGAGATCTGTTCTCTGCTCTTAGTGCCAGAATGGAGCAGCAGCCCCAAAATCCCCCCTCCTTGCCTGGTCTGCAGTGGTGCCCTCCCTGGGATGTTGAAGTCCTGCATCCCTCGAGCAAGCAGGAGCGGAGCCTGCAAGCATTGCCTTCAGCAGCAGGGTCTTATCCCCTGCTCTAGACAGGGATATCTGTTGTCAACTGGGATGAGTGTGCCTTGGGTCAAGGCTGGGGCTCTTCCCAAGGAGGCCAGGTCATGTAGGTGTTCACAGTGGGTTTGGGGTGTGCCCCTCCTGCAGAGAGATGGGCTGAGAACCCCACAGCTCACGACATGGGGATGCCTGAGCCTCCTTCAAGCCTGTTGCTGGTTCAACTGCTCCTGCAACAGCAGCATTTTGCATTTGTTTTCCAAGGAGAACAAATGGGTTTATACAAGCAGTGGGATATTGAGCCCTTTGCCTTCCACAGGAGTCTGTTGTGCCTGAGACATTGCTCCGATTGTGCTTGGTTTCACAGGTAAATCTATTTTTAAAGGCTCAGCACCATTCAGGGCAAGGTGAAAGGCTGCAGGCTTGTACCAGAAGCATGTTTCTCCTCTCAGTCCTCTACTAGCTCCTGAATCCTCCCCAAGGACTAAATAAAGGAGCACATTAGGGGCACAGGTTTAGCTGCAGTCTAGCAGATGGCATGGAGATGGCCTTTGCTAAAATGGTTGGATGCAACAGCTTAGCTGGAGGATTACGGGGAGGGTTTCCTCCCCCCTTTTGAAAGCTGTCACTGTTTCAGCTGGTCTGTAACTACTTCTGTCATGAAGGTGCACTGTAAAGGGTGGCCTGTCCGTGGTGATGGGGGACAAAATCCAGGGTAGCCCTAAGCCCAACCAGGTGGCTCCTCCTGCCCTGCCAGGGCACGGCTGCAGCTCTACTCCATGTACCACTTCTAGCTATGGAGAGGACACAAGTGCTGAGTAAACAACTCCATCCTTGAGGGAAACTGCTCCTTTCCCAGATTCATTCCTTTGCAGGGTTTATTTGGGAGGGAAAAGATGAGACAACTTCAGTGCCGTCAGGAGCTTCCCTTGGGGAGGACTGTGTAAAATCTCTCCAGAGCTTCTTCCCCAGACATCGCTTTTTGTGCTGCTCCTTTGAGCTGAAGCGGTTGCACTACCTTTGGGGTATAGAATGTGTGTCAGGTAAACATCTCTTGCCTTTGGATTGGGTTGAGGGCAGCCTGCATTGATCCTATGTTGGCAGAGGACCTGTTTCTCAGCATGACTTCCCCTGGGAAAGCTTGCTTCCCTCCCAGATAAGCTCTGCTTTTACTGGTGGTGCCAAGGAGTTCATCTGTGAGCCACATTCATCATCCCAGGTGTTAGCTGGACTTTTAGGCATTTGCAACCCAGATTGCCTGGGAGGTAAAGACAGGGATCTTGAACATGTCTCTATGTGCTGTAAGGAGTGGGGAGCTTGGCTTTGCCATCTCTCAATATCTCAGCAGTGTGTTAAGGAGTTTCTTTTCTGATACCATGGGTTATTGCTGTTCCAGTTTACTAATCCCAGCACAACCCAGATCACACAGCTCCAGGTTTCATCCTTGCTGCCATCATCCCTGTCAGAGGATTCTAAAGCTGATGATGCTACTGGTTTTTCTAGCTTCAGCACAATGGTCTGAAGATACTGTACATATACTGACTCCCAGTCCTCTGCCTTGGCTCCCAGTTCAGCACTGCAGTGAGTTTCTCTTGTTCATGGAGTGCTTTGGAAAGGGCCAGCCTGTCTGTCAGCAAAGGCTCTGGGAATGAGCTGGTGTCTTACCTGGAGCATCTTTCTAGCAGGCTTGCACAGGAGGCAGAAATGCTTCATTTCAGGTACTTTCTCCTAATTCTCAGCCAGCTGAGACACAACTACAGCTGTTTTATTACCGTCACCTACAAGTGTGACCGTAACAGCAAGGAAAATACATCTGTCTGTTGTTCACTGGGAAAATTACTGCTCCTAAATGAGCTATCAGCAAAGGCTGCAGCTGTGTTCAGAGGCAAGCTGGCTGCATAAAAACACAAATCTCTGCAATAGGTTAACATGGTTAAAAGCTCCTGTTCTGCCATGGACTCTCCTGATAACCTCAGGTAAGTGCTTTGGCTTGGTTCAGCTCTTGGCTGGCACCTGAGGGTGATGGCTCTGGTCATAGGGCTTGTGAATCAAGTGAAGAGCTTCGAGACCCAGCTCCCCTCAGCTGGGTACCAGGAACCTGATTACAGCCGTAAATCTGAGCTGTAAATTCCTGGAGCACTTCTCCAAATAGCTTACATTTTTGCTGAGTGTATCGAACATATGGACCCTGGTTTGATAGAGATGGGCTTGATGGCCAGTCATCATCCCAAGGAGGGAATGCTCTGTGCTCAGCTAAGAATTCTCACTAATGCTGGTGAATGTCTATGAATTAGTTTTCTGTTGAGTTGAGTCACTTCATTATGGTGACAAATTTGGAGGAAAAAAGCAGGTTTGCCATAGAAAAACCCAGCTGAGTCCATTGCTCCGCAGTGTACTGTCACCCCTCTGCCCCTGCTGCGCTGGGATGAGAGAGCCACTGCTCTTACCTTCGGCAGCTCTTGTCTTTGAAAGCATGTGGGAACTCCCCCCCCCAAGGATGGCAATTCCCTTCCCTTTGTCATTCAGCTGGAGGTGCTTTGCAGGCAGCACTGTGGGGGTCACAAGCCTCCCTTGCAGGCAGGATCTGAGCCGTCACCTCAAAGCCGTTTCACCAGCAGCTCCTGTATGAAACGGAAAGGGCAGACCAAGAGCACTCCTGCTCTCCAGGACCCCCCAAGAACATGGGGTTCGAATTGAAATATCACACAATTTCCCATGTGAGCATCGCTAAGAGGGTTTTCCCTTCCTTCCAGAGGCCAGCCAGGCCTTTCCCTGCAGAGACAGGGGACAGATGCTCATGAATATAACGACACAAGGAAGACGATAGAGGTGACTGTTATTCTCTCCCACCAAGAAGCAGTTGGTTTGAGAGATGCCTTTGGCAGCTGGATGTATTGCTGCTTCAAGAGGCTCTGCAGCTGAAATCCCTGCTTTGTATCTCAATAAAGGATCGCTCTGCCTCTTCTCCCTCCGTAGAGCGCAACCTATATTTAGAGCGTTTAGAGTTGTGTTATTTCAGCAGCAGGCTTAATTAAATTCTCCTGGAGAAGGAATCAACCCCTGGTGCCTCTTCATGATCCTAACCATGGACCCAGAGCTGGTGGGAGACCAAACTCAAACAGGGACCTTCTGCTCTGTCCTTGGAGCAAAGGCATTTGGACCCAGATGGAGTCTCCTGTGTCAGTGGGGCTGCTGGGCTTAACCCAGAGGAGAGTGAGGATAAAGCTCTCTTCTTGCCTTGAAGCGTGGACAAAAAAGAGTCTTTTTCTGGGTGTGTTTTTTTACCAGCACTGGACTTTCAGAGCTCTTTTCTGCAGGGTGGTTCCCAGAAGATATCATTATACATTTGTTTATTGGATTAAAAAAGAATGTAATCCTCTGCTAGGCCTTCTGCCATTCTGCTATGAGGGCATGCACAGATAATGGAAACACATCTTCTTCAGTTATTTATCTGAAGAGAAATACTTAATGCATTACGATGTATTCCACTTGAACTGGAGTCCAGTATCCTGCATTCAGTACATTAAGCTGTAACTCGATTATGCCAGAAGCTGGAGTCCTAATGAAGATCAGGGCCTGCTGGGGCTGCAGAGATTGGCAGGAGAAAATGTCTTTGTTCCCAAGACCTCAGTCTGAGCTGGGCTCTGTCCCTCTTTTCTAGATGCCATGGGGCTGTGGTGGTATGGCAAGGGGTAATGGGTTTAAAATAAAAGAGGGTAGATTCAGACTAGATAGAGGAAATGTATTTCTTATGATGAGGATGGTGAGGCTCTGGCACAGGTTATCCAGAGAGGTGGTGGCTGCCCCATACCTGGCGGTGTTCAAGGCCAGGGTGGACACAGGGGCTTGGAGCAAGCTGCTCTAGTGGAAGGGGTCCCTGCCCGTAGCACAGGGTTGGAACTGGATGAGCTTTCCCAACCCAAAGCACTCTGTCATTCCATACAGCAAAAAGGGCATTTCTCTACCATGCAGTATCACATTAAATCTAATGATGGATGGGAGGGAAGAGTGAAGGAAAAACTGTAGCATTGCCCTCATGAGATGGGGCAATGAGGCATCCAGAATGCTTCACACCAGCCACAATCAGCCTGGGCAAAGGAACCCAGCTCCATCTATACAACATGTCCAAAGGTGATTTGGACAAATAAATCACCCAGGTGATCTGCAGTACAGCGAGGGACTTGGGGTCTCAGGAGCTCTTGACACCCAAATCCTCTTTCTCAGCCGTACTGGGGAGCAACCTCCAAACCTACCTTAAGGGCAAGGAGCCCATCTGGTTCCCAGCTCTGCATGCCAGCACTGACCGATGTAGTGTAGGGAAACATTTAATGTATAGATGATGAGGAGGAGACTGCAGAAGATCCTGATCCATGTAGAAGCTGATCCTTGCTCTGACAGCGTGACCCAGCCTGTTCCTCTCCTCCCTGGAAATTTGGGGTTGAATGCACAGCAAGCATGTGCACATCAGCTATTTCTGTAGCAGGGAGCCAGCAGCCAGTGCTCTTTGCCACCTGCCAGAGATCAGACCCAAGAGCAAGTATTGCACCACGTCAACATTGGAATGACCTCAGTGCCCCTTCCTGGATAGGAAACAGCCTGAGCATCAGCTGTGTGGGTACTTGCAATTCTCCACCCACCGAAGCAGGAGGGGAAGCTTGTTAATCCAGTGCTGTCACACAGCTCAGCTGGAGAGAGCAGGGGTTATCCTCTCCAGTGCTGTTTGCTCTTCTCTGCAGCTCCCCAGGCAGGGCTTGCCAGGCTGATTGAAACACGGAGCTCAGACCTAGGGGCTGGCTGGAGCATCTGTGTCGTGCTTTGTGAGAATGATGGCACAAGGATGCCATCGGTTACGAGGATGCTACAGTTCCTGTTCTTCAGGCCGGTATTTCAGGCTGGATGCTCTGTCTCCCAGAGCTAATATCGTACAGGGCTAAATGCAGCACCTGTGCTCTGCCATAGCCCAAGAGAGATGGTCTTTTTGGGGGCCTGCTGCTGCTGCTCCTGTTATTGCTGTAGTTGTAGAAATAATATGGTTTATTGATGACTTTCTATTTCCTGTTGGAACAGCATAAATATGCATACACACATTGCAAGTGTATTTATACAAGTGAAAATCATCGCTAAGCCCCAGCCCAAGGAGGACATTAAAACGAAGCTGGATTTGATTTTAAATAAAGACATAGAGGGATGACATTCAGCTTCTCTAGGATCTGCCTCTATTTGTATTTTTAATGTGTTTCCGACATCCAAATGCATCAGCATGGGGCGAGCACAGGGACTAAATCTAAACTCTTGAGTGGTGACAAATTGCTGGGCTCTAAGGCTGAGAAACGCTCCTAAGGGTGATGCAAAAGGCTCCTGTTTGGTCCCTGTAAGCACTGTGCTAAAGGAGGGACACAGGTTGTCCTTAGAAACAATTCCCCACCAGGGTCATCTCTTTTCTTGGAAAAACATTGGAAAATGGAGCTATCAGAGTGGGTGTCCCTGGTGTTTATAAGGATGCTCCCCAAGGAGCCGGTCTGTGGATCGTCCTTTCCTGCACCCTACACATGCCCCTGGGCTGTGTTTTGGTGTCAGCATGGTTTGACAGGCAAAATGACCCTTCCTGGTCTGCAGGAAGGAGGCCACGATGCTTTGACAGTGTAATCATGTAAACCCATCTGCTTGCAGCAAAGAGGGCAGCAAGGATCGTCTTGAAAAACTTCCCACTGCCTTATGAGCCACCTCGAGCTGTATCCTCCCTTAACACATCAGTGCAACGCATTCACACAGCAGGACTGAAGTGTGAGCGAGGTTAAAATACCGTTTAGTAGGGAAGGCAGGTTTGTTGGGGGGTCCTTGTAGCCTTGCAAGGTACTTGGTCTGGAACATGAGGAGGATACAGGAATGAATGGGTGGAAGCGGCTTCGGGATATCATCGACAGCCTGCTCTGCTGTCCCTGGTATCCACAAACTTCCCTCTCTTCTCACTTAGGCTCATTCAGAGCAAACTATTTTTACTGTAGAAACATCCCCTAATGTTCATCCTACCTATTAGACCTCATGGCAGCCTTCCAGTATCTGAAGGGGGCTTATAAGGATGCTGGGGAGGGACTCTTCATTAGGGACTGTAGTGACAGGACAAGGGGTAATGGGTTAAAACTGAAACAGGGGAAGTTTAGATTGGATATAAGGAGGAAATTCTTTCCTGTTAGGGTGCTGAGGCACTGGAATGGGTTGCCCAGGGAGGTTGTGAATGCTCCATCCCTGGCAGTGTTCAAGGCCAGGTTGGACAGAGCCTTGGGTAACCTGGTTTAGTGTGAGGTGTTCCTGCCCATGGCAGGGGGGTTGGAACTGGGTGGCCTTAAGGTCCTTTCCAACCCTAACTATTCCATGATTCTATGATTCTATACCTGGTCGTTGTTGGGGATGTTCCAGTTGTACCTTTCCCTACTCCCATGGGACAGTTGGAGTAAACTGATCCCCTGCTCTTTCAATAGGGTTGATAGCTATGGCTATCTCTATGGCTAATAAATAATTACAGAGAAGAGATAAAGCTCATCTGTGCCCATTCTCTGCTGTGCTGCTTCCTGCTGTTTACCTCACCTTGTCTCTGTGTGTTTGGTTACTTTCTACTTAATGCAATCCTCTCTTTTACTTTCTCAATCTCACCTTTACTTCCTTCAGCCTATTTTGGTAGCATCCTTTCCATTCTGAATTCTAAACCTGCACTTCCCAAGCTCTTTGGATCACACACAATAATTTTCAAGTGCATTTTCTTTGCCATCATTGTGGTTTTCAAGAGAACTGTTTAGACTCGAACCAGTTTCCTATGGGAACCCTGTTGAAAAATCCTCCCTATTTTGACAACCGAATGTGAATAAATACTCTTTGAGTACAATCTTCCCACCAATTTTGCATCTGCCTCGTGGGGGTTTCCCCTAAACTGTATTTATTTAGGATGTCATGTAAGACTATGTCAAAAGCTTTGCTAAACTCAAGACACATCACATCTGAGCCCACTCCCCCTCCTTATTCACAGGGCCAGCTACTCTGCCAAAGAAAGAACTGAAGATTGGTTTGACAGGATTTATTCTGAACAAATTCACATTGGCTGCTTTTTATTGCTTTGTTATCCTCCAGGTGCTTAGAAACTGTTTCATGATGTGTTTGAAGGTCTTTCAGTATGTGAAAATCATGAAATCACAGTCTGTCTGTGCTCCCAGGCTCTGGGTCAATCACAGATGTTCTATTTGCCTCCTCCAGTCCTCCAATGCATCCCTGCTGGACTGGACCCTGCGAGTCCCTGTGGTGGTAAGGGCTAGGGGTGATGGGTGAGGGGAAGCTCCCTATCACCCAGGTTTAGTGTGATCTTGAGCCCAGAAACCCCCATTGTGCTGGATTATGGAGTAAAAAAACCCAGTTCCTGTATAGAAGGCGATCCTGTATTGAAGGATTTGTCTGGTAGGTGGAGACACCAGATGGTTGTGTGGCAGGAGGGACAGCAGCAAGACAGTGGTAAGGATTTGCTCCAGCAGGTTCCTCCACCTCCTCCTTTTCAGTAGCAACAGTCATGGTGTTATTCAGCCCCTTAAGAGCTGATCTTTGGGGAAAGCTTTGGGGATTTCAGGTCCTACATCACCAATGCATCTCTCAGGCTTTAAATCCGAGTTCAAACTCACAGCTGTGGAATAGACCTCAGGGCACATTTTCTCTCTGCAGGGGAGTGGGATGGGTGAAGCCCCAACTGGCCCATCACAGTGCATCCGTGGCCACAGCAGAGCAAGAACATCCATGGTCCTTGCACTGCTGGGCCCAAGCTGACACACAGCCCCTCTGAGGGGTTAAGGAGCTTGAGATCTGCACCCCACTAATGCTTCAAACACTTGCTGCCATTTCATCCTGGTCTTGGCTGCATCCCTTTATCTCCTCAGTGCTTTAGCTGTGTGTGTGTGTGTGTGAATTATGCTGTTACCTTGTCTGCTTCACAGGGGCATTGAGGATGCTG